TCAATCTGTCCAAAAGCTCTGAGAGCTTTGGAAAGGTTTCACTATTTTAAATCCTATCCAGAAAACCACCGAAGCATGGGAAGAAATCACACATAGCAATCTGTGAATGGCATTTAGAAGAAAGTTTTGATAACACACCGACACATTCAAAGGCTTTAACAAAGATTTTCTTGCTCATGAGAAAGTAACAAGATCTTAGTTATTGAGAAGCTGCTGAAATTGGACATTGATGAAGCGGTTATTCCTGAGCTTTTTGGTGCTGTGGCTGAAGATCTTTTCAATGAAGAGCTGATCAAACTGGAGGAAGAAAAAAGTAAAGAAATCAAGACAGAGGAAAATAATATATACCTGAGGCACCAAAAAGTTTCACAGTCAATAAACTGGTGGAGGCATTTCCTATTATCAGAAATGGTGTATGGATGTCAGAAGAAATGGATGTCAATTTTAAGAGGTTCTCTGACAGGCAGATACAGGATGTTCTTGCTTGCTATAGAGAAATACTTAAAGAAAAGAAGAAACAGACTGTACAGCAAAACTTGATTTTTTTCCTGCTAAACTATGAACGAGTGTTAACATCTCAGTGTCTTCTACAGGCAATTCTCAACTCTTGTCAGAAGAGAGAGAAATTGATGGTCCTCTCACAGTAGCAGCTCCATCCTGCAGCATTTAGTTTTAGTTGAAGGCTTCAAACATTTTTCAGGCCTGGTGTACTTTCAGCTATCTTAGTTAATAGTGACTACTCATACAACTATTTTGTTTTCCAATTTCAGTGCAGTATTAAATAAATGATGCAAGATATTTAACACTTTATTAAAAAGTAGGCTTTATGTTAGGTGATTTTGTCCACCTGTGGGCTAATATAAGTGTTTTGAGCATGTTTAAGCCAGGCTAAGCTAAACTGTGATGTTTATTAGGGTAAGTGTATTAAATGTATTTTTGACATACAATATTTTCAACTTGCAGTGAGTTTATCAAGACATCATTCCATCCTAAGTTGATGAGCATCTTTATTTTTGATTGCTTATCCCCTATATGTGGGCCATAATTTAAAAATTTCTTAGTATGCCTCATAACTTTTTGTTAAAAACTTGGCAGTTTTGAATAATGTAATTTGTCAACACTTGAAATCAGATTCTTGAGCCTGTGAAGATTTTATTGTTGTTGCTATTACAGTTTGTTCAGTTATTGACTTTTAAACTTATTTTGTACAGTCTGTATCTATTGTATGTGGTTATTGAGGTTTCTGCTCTCTTGGTTTAGTTGTCACTTAATGATTGAGTGGAATTCTAGGAACGAGTTAGTATCTCACTTTGACAATGGGCTCTTTGAATGTGTAAGGGAATGCCTTAAATGCTGAGCAGGCCATTTGATAACTCTGCCTTTCCTTTCACTTTCTGCCTGGTTAGCCAGAGGTGGGATCCTAGGACCTTTTCAGATCTTTCCTATACATACCCATAGCTATGAGTATGCAAACCACTGCACATACACACATCTCTGGACTTCTAGATTCCCAATGGTATGCAGAGCTTTTCAAAATTTTTATGAATATCTCATTACATATCCTTTCCTTTAAGCTTTTTAGTTAGGCTGTTGTTTACCCCAACTGTTATCCAGGTAAATGTGGTTTAAATAATTGCTCATAATTATTTTCAACAGATGCTATGGGTGAAAGTGATTTTTACACTGGGTAAGCTCTGAGTCTGGTCAAACAAAGCCAAATAAAGGTAGCCTTGCAAGTGGGCTTTTAGGAGAATCGCTAGACAGGTGAAAAAAAAAAATTCTGAGAATGAGACTTTGAAGGAGCTCTACCCTTTCTGTCTTTTCTGGTGGTTGGCAGGCTGCTGGTTTTCACTGTTATTGTGTAATATTTGTTATCAAGTCTACTGGAAAGCTGGAGATAAGGAAATGGGAATAGACAACCACATTTCTATTCTTACTCAATGTTATAAATTTTTCTTAAGTGCTCCTCAAATTGTTGTAAGCCTTTGGTTAGTTTCCAGAAAGTTGAAAAAATTGCTTCTAATATTGTCCTGTTACTTCTATGGAGGAGAAATTTTTGGAACTTCCTACTCTTCCACATTTGCTGATTTCACTGTTTTTCATTTAATCATAGCCTGGACTACACCTTATTCTGATATTCTATTCTTATTCTTATTCTAGTAACTAAATAGACTGTAAATTTTGGATATATTTGATATTGGATATATGCATATTATGTAGTTAGCATATAGTTAAGATATTCTTAGATATTTCTTTAAGTAGATTTTTGTTTAGATTACAAATCAAGCTATTTTATTCTGAATTTATTGTTCCATCAGCTCACCCACCTAACTCTCCAGCCAGTCAGCCAGTCACTAGCTGAAGATCTATTGAGCATCTAACATGGTCAGGTCCTTATACTATATAATTCCACACACTGGCGGTTAAAATATTTGAAAGCCGAGGAATTTTGATTTATCTTGAATAAGGTATCAAATAGTTTAATTTTTTTTTAAACTTGAAGACTCTAATGTCACCGTGAGAAAAAGGGATCTAAGAGCTAAACCTTTAAGAGAGTATGTAAAGTAGAAATAGAAAATGTTCCTAAATAATATGTTCAAGGGGAAGATTGGAAAATGGTCAGTGATAATCCTTTGGGTTTATGAGTTTAAAGTGAAACCACTCTATTAATGAATAAAACATTTTTTTCTGAATAAATATTATAAAACTTTTAAAGAGAGTGTGAGGAAATGAAATTCTAGACTGAATCCTTTTATGGGTTTGGACTGTTCATGTTCAATGAATTGGGTTTTTTTTCCTTCTTTCTCTCTTTCTACCAAAACGTAAGAAAAATAAATAATGAATTATAAAGTAATACCTCCCAAATTCCAAATTGATAGTAACAATGTTAATAACAGTCCATTTTATATCAAAGAAAAAAGTTTAAGGTAATTGAAATGGAAATGTGTGTTTAAAATGTAAAATCCTTTTTTCTGCATTCTATTTTTATTCATTTTAGGAAAATTATTTTACCTTAGTATGCATTTTTTTGTGTTTGCTCTTGGGAGGGTACTCTGATATTGCTTTTCAAACTTTTTTTCTAAAATGATATGAATGTTCATGTGAACATATAAATGTTTAAGATGATGGATAAACTAAATATTCTGAGTTGATTAGTATACAATGTATAAATAACCCCAAATATCACAATGTACCTTATATTATCTATCAACTAAAATGAATAAGTAAACAAATAAAAATATTTTTATTTATTTTTATTTTTTTTCCCCATAAATTCTTTTATTGGTACATTTTAGGTATACAATACATTTACATTTATCATTGGGAACTTGTACCTTTACATGATGCATCTTGGTTCTTATTTTTTCCCCATTCCCTGCCCTCCCTTCACCCCCTCCACCCTTCCCTATTTACAAAAACTTTGTTTCTACTTTTCCTTTTCTCACAGTTTTTCCTTTCCCTTCTTTCCTTTCCCCTGCTCCTCCCACTTCCCCTAATCCTTTGGACCTTTTTTTCCTATTTCACATTATCAATTATTCATTTTAATCCTTGCTTACACTTTCAGTTTCTCACACCAGAAAAACTATTCGGTATTTACACATGTGTGCTCTATTTATTTCACTTAAGAGTATGGCCTACATGTGCATCCATTAAGTGAGATCAATAATCACTATTGTTTCTTCTCTTTATCTCTTGCCCTCATTTAGCCTTTGTTTAATATATTATTATTTAATATTGAGAAAAAAAATTCAATTTCATTGGGGAAGAAAGGCATTTTATTCATCGAAAATATATAATTTTTCTGTTTACCTGGTATCACCAGACATTTTTTCAGTGTTAAATAGTGGAGAGAGGTGACAACTTGGTTTAAATTACATATATGCCAGGTTGTTTGCTCCACATTCTAATCTATAGTATATTATTTGAAGTAGACAATCAAACATTCTCTCTGCTTCTGTGAGTGGGAGTATCGTGAATGCATGTAACAACAAAGAGTTATGGCTGAAGTCTCATTGCCAGTGAAGGTGTAGAGAGATGAAGCGTTCAGATGTTTAACCAAGACCAAATTTCTATTCTGTAGATGATGGACAACTATTGAAGGATTTCAAGCACTGATGATGGCACATGGTAATCTTGCAGCTCTGTGGTGATAGTTGGATCAGGAAAACTTTGTCTCCTACAGGAAGATTTTCTTAATCTCCTGTTGGATTTTGAGGACGTTAGTTACAAGGTCACTTTGCAAAATTTTTCCATCTGGACTTCAAAATTAAAGTTGTTCCAGTGAAAAATCTAGAGAACAGTTTAGGTCATGTTACATAAACCAGGATGGACTTGAAAAATAAATGTTCTATTTTTATATATTGCAAATAAAAACAAGCTTGTGACTGCTCCCTGAGAATTCTAGGTAATCCCGCAGTGCCTTCATTTTTTAGTTTATAGTTCATTTATATTAATATTTCTGATTTTAGAATGATTCAAAGGAAGTGGCCCCATTTAATTTATTTTATATTTTGCATTTGTAATATAATAAAAAGCTATCTATATTTCAGGTAGCTTTTTCATTTTATCTTATACAATTCTCCTGGGTGAGCATTATTCTTATTTAAAGATTCCAAAAAGCCAATGCCCAGGTTAAGAAACTTGGCCTTCATTACAGAAATAGCAGGGATGGAATTTAAATCTAGACCTCTTCCAACTCCAAAGTTGTTTCTTTCCAATATATCACCTTCCCTCCTTCATAGAATATTATTTTCAGTGTCACTTTCCTTTGTATATCCACTCACTAAATTCTTCCTTCTTGTCTGAAAGAATTAAGTTAATTAAAAGTCTGCATATCTCTTCATTAGGAAAATTCAGCTTACTTAATTGTTTAGGTCAGGTAGTCCCTTATTTCCTTCACAATAAAAAAGGATAAAGAAGAAACAGAGGACTTTTGCTTTCCAATGACTTACATCATCCTGCAGACAGTTGGCAGCTAAGAGAGGGACAGCTGCCACACTCTTCAGATATCTCTCTATTTAAAGTTCAAAGCAACACTGGACAACAATAAGGAAGAGGTAAGTGTGGCCCTTATCAAGCCACTCAACAAAAAGAATAATGGCTGAAAAAGGTAAGATTTAAGGGATCAATTCTCTTAGGAATAAAGACTTCTGGGCTGTGGTTTGTTTGTGCTTCTTGGCATTTTAATTCTGAAGAAGGTAGTGTCTCTGCTAAATAGTCAGAAGCCATATATTTTAGTGTGGCTGCAAAAAGGCATTAGATGGCTATGCATTTTATGGACAATGCTTATAGGTTATAAATAATTTTGAAACGATCAAACAAAAGAGTTTAATTTTGTTTATGCTCACTTTGAAAGGTGAGTTGTAAATCAGCTATTCTCCAGTGTTGTGGTAAATTTGAAGGGATGAAGGGTGCTAGGTCAGAATTAAGCATGGTTGAGTTCTGTGTCAAATCTACTAAATAGCCATGTGAGTTTGGAGAAGTCACTCTACTTCTCTGAGCCTGTGTTCGGACTGTAAAATAAGAATATTGGGCTCAGTCATCTCTAATATTCTCTTTATCTAAATATACGTTTGTGATTTTAAAATAATTTTCATATCTATATGTTTATATAAAATAATGGACTCTGATATGATAAAATAGGCTGAATATGTCTGTGTCTAGGAAATGCTTTTAAAAATACGTTCAGAAATTTTTGCTTTAAATCCTGACAACAGCCCTGTGAAATATGCATATTATCATCATCTTCATTTTATAGATGAGGGAAGTGAAATTCAGCTTTCCATGATCAATAGTGTACATGCCAGGTCTTGAACTTGGACAGTCTTGTTCCACAGTGTCATACCCTTAAGAGTTTTTCCAACTGTAACTTCTTTGACATACTCAGAACCAGAGACAGGAGCATTTTGAAATTACTCTTCATGTTTACAGAGGACTTTTGTTCTTACTTGTGCTGTTAATGTAAGTGATATATATAAAGTGTATCAGGTTCTTATGTATTCCTATTTCTAAACAATGCTGTAGATTGGTAAAACTGAAAGTATTAGTATTAAAAAATGTTAATGCAGTTATACTTTGAGTGTCAAAATGGACACCAAATGTACTGTTTTACAGGGAATAGTAAATAATGGGGTAGTTTATTATATGTAAATTTTATTAAAATATGCCTCATTAAATTTTATTTAAAATGCTTGTATAAAATATTTATAAACAATTGAAATATCAATATTAATTTTCAAGTTATTTGAAATTGGCAAAAATGCTAAATCACTTACTTGAACCTTTCAAGAAAATACTGTTATGAACTTTCTCTGTAATGGCATCTTAATTCATAAAAAGGCATTGGTCCAAATGAGAGTAAAGGGCATTTTATAATGTCTGCTTTACCCTTAAAAAAATAGCACATGGCAGGTAAATAAGACATGTTTTTCCTTGTGCAAGGTCACAGTGAGGTGGAGAAGCAAGGAAAGCCCATTGTATTTGTAAGTTAAAAGGTACTCCAACCTTCTTGTAAAAATAGAAAGTATTAAAATTCATTAAAACTTCAGAAAATTTGCTTTTATGAGACTATCTTCTAATTTTAGAAATGTCTCATCTCCTAATGGCTTTAATAGCATTTTAAGAAAAAAACTTCACACTTTAAAGTGATGGAAATTGTAATGAGAATACAATTGCTAAGAATTCTTTTTGTTAGCTAATGGCATAAGCTCTAATTGCACTTTCCAATAAAAAAATATATCTGAGTCCTTAACATGGGGACATTAGTTCCATAGGATGTCTTCCTGTGCTGCTTCTGAATTCTTTTGTGTGGTGTATATGTGGATGTGTGTGCTTGTGCATTTGCTTGAAAGAGCAAGATTTAGATGCAGTGAATTTTTAAAAAATAGATACTTTTATAAATTGCTTTTTACAGGTAAGGGTACCAATAGAAAGTGCAGTAGGAATATATATGTATATGAATATATATATGCCTTCCACATGGGTGGTGGATAATTACTTCCCATAGATAAAATTCAATGCTAATTCTTATAATAAACAAATTTAAATAAATAGAATCTCTTTTCTCTAGTTGAGAATGATTATATAATGTATAATGCTTTCCTTTTCTTGTGAAATTTAACATTAAAGTCAGCCACTGAGAACAAGAGCAATTCTATATATTATGATTTATTTAGTTTAGTAGGCATTACCTCAGAGTTACATTGAGTTGTTATGTAAACAACTGCTCAATGCATTATTGCATAAATGCAGGAATGTGTTCTGTATACACTAAACACACACTGGTGATTAGAGTTCACAAAGCTTTGCACATGTTATGTCATTTGACCATCACCTCCAAGAGGAGGATATCACAGGTCTGATTATCTACATTTTACAAAGACAAAAGTTCAAGATTTGCCTTGTCCAAGGTAGTATAACTTTAAAAGGATGACCTTGGTTTGAAAGTAGGTCTTCTGGTCTAAGCACCCAGGATTTATAACCTAATCACTGGAATCCTTGGTGAAAAAAAGAAAAATGATTATGTATGGGTATGAGTAAAGGATGTATTTTTCCTCAGTACTACCAGATTCCTCTCATTCTCTTGATTCAGAAGATTTACTGCCCAAATGACCAACTGATCTGTTTTCCCTGCTTATTTTTAAGCAGAGTACACATTGTCACGTCTTGTCGTTCCTGTTCTTCTCCTGATTGGTTGGATTGTGGGCTGCATCATAGTGGTTTATGTTGTCTTCTCTTAAAAAGGTAAGAGTTTTAATAATTAAATATGTTTATTCATGGCATAAATTGTTCCAGAAAAATTACTTTCTAGTTTATTAATGGCATATTTTGTCATTTAGGCAAGAAGACTTCGGATTTACATCATTTAGAAGAATTAAGAAAAACACAAACATGACTGAATATTGAATGTTTATTGTGTTAAATAATGAAATGTTTGACATCACTGTATAAGCTTGGATTGCAAGCTGATGCTTTCATCTATATAAGACTCTTTTCAGGATCTTATTTAAAATTATGAGTATAACAATTACTATAGGAAAATATGAGTGAACATCTCTATACCCACAGAGTAGGAAAAATGTTCCTAATTATGATTAAAATGCATAAGCAGCAGGAAAAAGTCTGATAAATGTAATTATATTAGGAAACATTTTGTTCTCTCTCCCAAGAAAAACTTACAGAAAAATGGACTAGAGAGAATAGACAATTCACAGAAAACAAAATGTAAATGTAAACTTGGCTCTGAATTTCATGCATGTAACAAGATAAATATAATTTGAACTACACTAAGAAACTTTTGCTCAGTTATTAGGTGGACGAAATAAAGATATTTGAAAACATATGTGTTAATAAGACTGTGGAGAAATGAGCACTTTCATGCACTATCTCTGCAAATCCAAAATAAATTCAGAATATCACAACATATTTTCATGGGGGTAGTCTTGCTATGTTGTCCAGAGTGGTTTTGAATTCCTGGGCTCAAGTGGTCCTCCTGTCTCAGGCTTCCCAGTAGTGGGGACCACAGGAATATGTCACTGTACTGAGGTAGGTACAACATTTTTGGGGGTACTTTATGGTCAGCATGTGCCAAAATTACATATTCATTTAACTTTTGACCTAGCTATCAACCTTCTAAGAATATGGAAATTTCCATAGCTACACTGGCAAAATTGGCATATACACAAGGCTATTCATTCTGGCATGATTTGATATTGCAAAAACCTGGAAACAAACCAAATATATTTTAATATGGTACTGATAGACTAAACTGTGGTATATATACATAATGTAGTGCTTTTGCCACTGTAGAAGCAAATGAAGAGGATCTCTATATATTTATATAATGTGATCACCAGGATACTGTTAATGGAAAAAGTACAATATAGAATATTTTCTAAGCTTTGTGTAAAAAAGGAGGGGTGATGTCAATACATACACATACTTACAATAAGATATTAAAAAACAGGAGAAAAATGGAGGTCACATAATTCTGAATGTACCTTGTTTTCTAGTTTTTATTTTTGGAATCATGTAAATATTTTATATATAAAAAAGAAAATGTTATTCTCCCAAATTTAAAGCAAAGTAATACAAATTTAATAGCATATCAAGTTGGTGGCATGACTACAAAGAAAAAAATTAATCTTAAAAATTACTATAAATTACAATATTTTTTACAGTATATCTCTTATGTGGTAAAAAGCTTAAAACTATATTGAGTGGTCTTTTTGTTAGTAATAATATTTATACTGTTGATTTGAAAACCAGACCATCAGCATAAGTGTCAAATAAATCCCTGGTAATCTTAAAACTGAATAGCAACTATTATCATAATCTCACTATTTATTTTCTTTCTTTTTTTCAGTTGTCCAATTTTATTTTATTTTATTTTATTTTTTATTTTTGGTGCCAGGGACCGAACTCGGGTCTTTCTGCTTGTGAGGCAGGCGGCAGAACCACTGAGCTAAATCTCTGGCCCTTTATTTTATTTTTTTAACTTTGTTAATTTTATTGGTACAACTTAAATATAAGTAACAGTCACATTAATCATAGGAAATTTGTACCTGTACATGGTATATCTTGATTCCTCTTTTTCTCTCAATCCCCTCCCCCCCTTCAGCCCTCCATTCCCTGCTTATTTACAAAGGCTTTGTTTCCATTTTATTCCTTCTTTTCTCATTTTTTCTTTTCCCTTCCTTCTTTTCCTCCTCCTCCCACTTTCTAGTTTCCCTTTCCTTTTGAACAATTTCTTCCTATTTCACATTATCTACTATACATTTTGGTCCTTACCCTCTCAGTTTCTCACACTAGAGAAACAAGGTGATATTTACATATGTGTCCAATTTATTTCAGTTAAGAGTATAGTCTCAAGATGCAGCCATTTAAATATAAATGTCTCAAATTTATCTTTCTTTATGGCTGAGTAGTAATCCATTGCATAGAAAAACCACATCTTTTTTATTCATTAATTGGTTGATGGGCATTTGGGTTGTTTCCAAGATTTAGCTATTATAAACTGTGCTGCAATAAACATGGGTGTGCATATATCACTGTGGTATGATGCTTCAAATTCTTTTGGGAAGATACACAGAAGAGGAATAGCTAAGTCATATGGGACCTCTAATCGAAGTTTATTGAGGACTCTCCACACTGATTTCTACAGTGGTTGCACTTGTTTCAACTCTCATCAACTCTCAACAGTGGAGAAGGGTTCTTTCTTCCCACGTCCCCATCAGCCTTTGCTGTTGGATGACTTTTCTTTTTCTTTTTTCATTAAGTTTATTGGTACATAATTTCTCCTTTCCCTCCTTTATGAGAAAAGAAAAAAAATGGAAACAAAGTCAGTGTAAATAGGGAAGGGTGGAGGGGGTGAAGGGTGCACAGGTAATGGGGTAAAAAATAAGAATCAAGATACATCATGTACAGGTACAAGCACCCAATGATAAATGTAAATGTTTTGTTTACCTAAAATGTACCAATGAAAGAATTTAAGGAAAAAAAAGTTTATTGGTACATTTTAGGTATACAATACAGTTCCATTTATTGTTGGGAACTTGTGCCTTTACATGATGTATCTTGGTTCTTATTTTTTCCCCATTCCCCTGCCCTCCCTTCAACTCCTTCATACCTCCCTATTTACAATGACTTTGTTTCCATTTTTTCCTTTTCTCATATTTTTTCCTTTCCCCTACTCCTTCCACTTCCACTATCCCTTTAGACCCTTTCTTCCTATTTCACATTATCAATTATACATTTTGATCCTTATTTACACTTTTAGTTTGTCACACTGCAGAAACTATTCAGTATTTGCACATGTGTGTCCTATATATTTCACTTAAGAGTATCACATCAATGTGGATCAATTTAGCTATAAATGCCTCTAGTTTCTCATTCTTTAGGGCTGAGTAGTACTCAGTTTTATTTTAGAAAACCACATCTTCTGTATCCAATCTCCAGTCGATGGGCAATTGGGCTGTTACCAAGCTTTTGCTATTACAAACTGTGCCACTGTAAACATGGGTGTGCATATATTACTGTGGTATGATTCTTTTAATTCTTTTGGGAAGATACCCAGCAGAGGCATAGCTGAGTCAAATGTGACCTCTAATCCTAGTTTTGGGAGGTATTTCCATATTGATTTCCATAGCGGTTGCACCAGTCTGCACTCCCACCAACACTGGAGAAGGGTTCCTTTCTTCCCACACCCACACCAGCATTTGTTATTGGTTGATTTCTTGATAGCAGCCATTCGTTCTGCAGTGAGGAGGAATCTCAGTGTTGTTTTCATCTGCATCTTTTTTGTTTTGTTTTTTGTAACAGGGATCAAACTCAGGTCCTTGCGCTTGTGGGCAGGCAGGGGCACCACTGAGCTAAATCCCTGGCCCTTATCTGCATCTCTTGAATGACCAGTGATGTTGAACATGTTTTTCATATGTTTCTTTGCTGCTTTTACTTCTTTGTCTGAAAAAAGTCTGTTCATTTCAGATGCCCGTTTTTGAATTGGGTCTTTAAATTTGGGGGGGTCTGGTTTTCTAAAGTTCTTTGTATATTCTCTATAGTAGTCCTTTGTCTGAGGAACAGCTGGTAAAATTTTTTTCCCACATTGTAGGTTGTCTCTTAGGTCTGTTCATGGTTTCTCTTGCAGTGCAGAAGCTTTAAATAAGACGAGATCCCAGGTTTTCATTCTTTGTGCTAGTTCACGTGCAACTGAGGTTTTATTCAGCAAGTCTTTGCGTATGCCAATATCTTCAAGAGTTCAACTTAACTTATCTTCCAGCCAGTTTAGTGTTTCTGTTTTAATATTTAGATCTTTAATCCACTTTGATTTTAATTTAGCACGTGGTGAAAGATAGGTGTCTAGTTTTAATCTTTGGCACGTTGAAATTCAGTTTCTCCAACACCTTTTATTAAAGAGGCTATCTTTCCTCCAATGAGGATGGTTGGATCCTTTGTCAAGCTCAGTATGTCTGGAGTTGTTTCTGCATCTTCTAATATGTTCCATTGATCCTCAGGTCTGTTTCTTTGCCAGTACCATGCTGTTTTTATCACAGTGGCTTTGTAGTATAGTTTCAAGTTGGGGATTGTGATATCCCCAGCCATGTCTCTATTGCCTAGAATTGCTTTTGCTATTCTAGGTCTCTTCTTGTTCCAAATGAATTTTTGGATTGTTTTCTCAAGGTCTGTGAAATATATTGTTGGAATTTCAATCAGGATTGCATTGAATCTATATAGCAGTTTTGGAAGTATGGCCATTTTCACTATACTGGTTCTCCCTACACAGGAACAAAGGATGTCTTTCCACTTTATTATATCCTCTTTGATCTCTGTTTTCAGAGTGCTGTAGTTCTCAATGTAGAGGTCTTTTGCTTCTGTCATTAGATTGATTCTGAGATATTTTCATTTTTTTTGGATGCTATTGTAAAAGGAATTGTTTCCCTAATTTCTCTCTCAGTGAGTCTGTTATTTGTGTACAAGAAGGCTATTGACTTTTAAGTGTTGACCTTGTATCTAGCTACTCTACTGAATCTGTAAAGTAAGTTTAGAAGTCTTTTGGCTGAGTTTTTTGGGTCTCCTATGTAGAGTATTATATTGTCAACAAATAATGACAGTTTAACTTCTTCCTCTCCTATCTTTATTCCTTTTATTTCTTTCTCTTGTCTAATTGCTGTGGCTAGTGTTTCCAGAAATATATTGAACAGGAGTGGTGATAGCGGACATCCTTGTCTTATTCCTGATTTTCAGTTTTTGACTATTTAGTATGATATTGGGTGTTGGTTTTTCATAGAGAGCCTTTCTCAGGTTTAGATAAAGACCATGTATTCTAATTATCTACAGGGTTTTTGTCATGAATGTTGTTGAATTTTGTCAAATGGTTTTCTGGATCTAGTGAGATGATCATATGGTTTTTGTCCTTGATTCTGTTAATATAGTGTGTTACATTTATTGATTTACATATGTTGAACCATCCTTGTGTCCCTGAGATAAATCCGACTTGGTCAGGGTGTATGATCTTCTTGATGACCCTCTGTGTTTTGTTTGCCAGTATCTTACTGAGGATTTTTGCATCTATGTTCATTAGGGAGATTGGCCTGTACTCTTTTTTGGTTGGGTCTTTCTCTGCTTTTGGAATCAAAGTTACACTTGCTTCTATTCAAATTCTAATGAATTTGGAAGTATTGCTTCCCTTTCAATTTCATTGAAGAGTTTAACAATCAGTGGCAATGGTTCTTTTCTAAATATCTTGTAGAATTCAGCAGTAAAGCCACCAGGGACTGGGCTTTTCTTTCTTTTTTTTCTTAAATTCATTTATTGGTACATTTTAGTAAACAATACATTTATATTTATCATTCAGTGCTTGTACCTGTACATGATGTATCTTGGTTCTTATATTTTTCCCATTACCTGTGCACCCTTCATGTCCTCCA